TTGTTTCATATTTAGTTTATTAGATAAATACGTTAATGGTAAACTAACAACAAAGCTTCTGATAAACATAATGACTTCAACTTTTCAATCATCAACTCCCCTTACTTATGTAGCAATATACCCTTTTCACCGGCATATGGGGTTTATATATATATATATATATATATATATATATATATATATATATATATATATATATATATATATATATATATATATATATATATATATATATATATATATATATTAAACCAGTTAATAATTTCTTAATTTTCCTGAACCACATTTCAAAATTTTATACCTATGAATCCAAAAATAAGGTTTATTTGGTATCATCAACCAAAAGTTTCCAATATTATTTATATCATTTTACTGATGTATGTTTCACGTGAAAAAAGAAGAAAACAAACAGTAATCAAGCTCAAAAGTTTATTGAAACAATACAAATTTGGAGGAGAGCAAACACGGACTTCTAAAAATATCAAAGATGAGGTCAGGTGCCATGGAGAAGTCAGCGTCCCCTGTCGACAGGTCACAGTTACGCCCATCGTGTGCTCTTTTTCATGATCCGTAAACAATTTATAGTTAAAATAATGGCCTAACAATTTGTATCAAAAACATCTGTCAACATTCGACTTAATGATAAAATGCACTTGCTGACAAGGTCACTGTATCGACCATAGAATTTGCCAAATTTTGACTTTAAAAGAGAATGTTCATATTCATATTTCATCAACTTATTTTTCAATAGCTTGCCCGTTTTAGAAATTGTTCGTATATAGAGCATATCGAATCAACTGGGAGAGATAAACTCCATTTGCAGGTGATAATGGTATATTGCTACATAAAGAAGGGAAGTTGACGATAGAAAAGTCGAAGTCATCACGTTCATCATAAAGCTTTATTGTTAGGATATCATTAATGTCTTTTTCTGGTAAAATATCGAAATATGAAACAGAGAAGTCAGACTCTGTGGTATTTTTTGAGTTCAAAGGGATATATCGAATCAACGTAGGAATGAAAATGAATATTGTTAATTGATTAAACGTCGTCAATATATCGTAATGTTTAATTGAAAGCCAAAACAAGACTTCTTTTCATGTAGAAGGTTTTGAATATTCTGCTTCATGTGAATATAAAAATAGGTCTGCTAGGCTCAATAAGTACTTAGTAAATTTTTCAAATAAAACAAAGATTGCAAAATCTTTTATGTTTTGATTGACTTTGACAACTTACCTGTTCCATATATTCGATTAAACAATGCTGAATATAAGTTCCTGGTTGTTATTTCAAGGATTTGAACAAAGTTATCTGAAACTCAAGTGCAATTTATGTAATGACATATTTCTCCCCTATATCTGCGAGGTCTTTTTTGATTATGTCATGGTGCAAAATAACTAAGAAAAGCTAAAATGTAATATATTTTATTTTCAAGGTGTAACGTTATTATGTCGATGTGCAAGAAAATTGTGTTAAAATGCAATTTATCTCTGCCAGTATGCAACTTATTTATTTTGACATGCACCTGAACAATGTTGACATGCATCTTTATTACATGTATGCTGATATGTAACTTAACTGCAACTTAAATATATCGTTATGCAACTAAGACTGTTGACCTTCTACATAGTTACATATATTTGAATATCAAGTATACGTGAAAATATTTTTTTTTTAATTTTGTGAAATTTGAAATAAACCAAAGTTTTCAAAAAGTCAATTAACTGAGTATGACCTGGAACATCCACTCTTTTTATGCTTAACTCTCTATTTTTATACAAAAGATTGTTTTCTAATAAAAAAAAGACTTTAATACAAAATATATGCAGCGTTTGACCGTAGTATAACATAACATCATTACCATGCACGTTGAAATAAATACGTTGCATGTTGAAATTATGTCAACATAAATTATTTGCATGCTGATATTATTTAATTTAATTTTGGGTTGTTACGCGCCATTTGATTGGATAAAAAAGTATTTAATTAATATCGTATAAACTGTGTTGCCTGCGTCACAATGACTTGCGTCAAAAATTTATACATGCGCATGGGGTTACATTTAAATTTTGCACAATTTAAAGTCATTTTTAAGGGCAATCATCTTATTTTCTAACACTAAATGAATGAAAATTAAATTATAAGGAAAGAATTTAACGCTTCGTGGTTTATAAAGCGCAAACTGCCCCAACCCAGTTTATACCAAATAAATTGGGTAGCTAATAAATTCATTCCTTAATAGCTAATAAATTCATTCCTTAAATAAAAATATTTCATGTATATATATATATTAACGTAAATAAGTTATGATATCTACGTAACTAAGTTGCTTAATACATAATTATCTCACAAATAAGCAATTAATAAAAATATCCTATAAAGAAACTTAAGCTGCATCCTGCAAATCTGATCTAATCTGTGCATATTTCTATTATTTCCTTTTTAAACGAAGAATATCTCAGAATATATTGTTATTTTACTTTCATGTAAATGCTTGAATTTGGTTCGTCAAGAAACATTTGTTAACAACTGTTACCCTCTGCATGATGAAACCACGCCCTCCAGCGCGATAGATCTTAGCAACAGTCAACATAGCTTGAAGACGGGTGATATTCGAAAAAATATTATTGACTGCGCGGAATCTATGCGCGTGCACTACGCCTTTATATGTATTTGTATAAAACATTCAATATAATAAACACTGAATGTAGTTAAAGGTAACATTGAAAATTTTCACCCCAAGAAAACCATTGTCAACCAAGGTTGCGCCTCGGGAAATAGTTGTTATTCTACTTATAGCCAGTTAACTGGTGTACAATAAAGCAGCATTCTTCACTATTGTCAAAAGTATGAAAGCAGCCTCGGTTGACAAAGATTTTCTTGGGGCGAAAATTTTCAGTATTACCCTTAACTACATGCAGTATTTATATAATATTGTATGTTAAATAACAATCATGCATGTTGACATAAATAGGTTGCATATTTATCTAGATGATTATCTTGCACGCAAACATAATCTGTGGAAAAAATAACTCTCATACAGGGGGCAAAAATTGATTCAATAAATTTAGCTTAAAGAAACGAGATGCTTTAATATGGCTTTGTTTCATAGAGTATTTAATCGATATTCTTGATGAAATAGCTAATAACTTTCAGAGGGGGAAAAATATTGTTATGAGGATGTAGGAAATATTGCAAGAATCTACATGAAGAGAATAAATTTCTAAATTCAAATTCATTTTTCCCGATCGGAAAAACAGATATTTGGAAAATAATGGCCCGGATGTTCATTAGCATTGTGCTTAATGTTACATTTTTGCAAGCACTTTATTACCCAATAACTGTACCAAAATGCACAACCACCATTGAAGATTATATATTAATTGCTAAAAATTTATAAAGCAGTTCAACGACCTCATTATGATATCAAAACGTTTTACTATCAAAATAAAGAATCAAAACAAACAAAAAACTCTGAAATGAAAATAATTAACGAGCATGCCATGTTTTATAGATGATTAGTGTTGTGTGTAGATCAATATTTCAACCATTATTAACCATTTTCAACCTCTGGAAATATGATCAGGGAAAGTAACATTGACAAGGCCATTTCCTCGCTACATAAAAAGAGAAATCCATATACTCCGCATCAATAGGTCAAAAAACGGGGAACCTCATGCTAATGAATTCAGATGATCCTACTGTTCATTTCGCCTTTGGAATACTTTTTTTCTTCTTAACGATAATTGTCTCGCACAAAAATCAAGATTTCCTAAGACTTCATTTTTTTTAATGACAATTAATTTCTTCTTCCTAGCTCAATTCTTATTATGTTTCTTGGAAGAAACTTATTTTACTACGAATATCAATTTTGTTAAATAATATCAGAAAGTTCTCTTTCGTATCTATTTGCATTTTGTCGTGCATAAAAGAAAATGTGTTTTCATTTGGAGGAATTATCAAGCTGGAAATGTCCAATAAATTAATCGTACTCCAATACTTTTTATTTGAATAAATATTACACAAAATTTGCAGACACTTTAATTTTAATCACAAATTAAAGGGGTAGACAGAATCTAAACCTGCTTTGACAACGATAAAATATACTGTCCACCTCGACAGAGGGAGGAATCTAGTTAAATGTACTATAACATTCACATTTACAAAAGCTTGAACATCAACTTTTCGGTTTCGTCTTGAAAATCGCATGCTTAACGGTCACCTTTTTTGTTTTGAAAAAAAAACCCACAATCTCGGATATTAAATTTACTCATAGATATGAACAGGTTTCAAAGTATTCATGAACATATGCTCATTTGTAATTATAAAGGGCACTTGTGATATTATTTCCTCGTATTGTTACAGCGTGGTTGTGGGAGGTTAACTTTTTTTATTTTATATTGGTGATCTGTTGGAGAGAAATACAGATGATTGTTCAGTGTTTCAAGTTAATCTTATCATATTATCCCAATGGTTTTTGTGATCATTGAACTGCCGGCGTCAATGCCTTTACAGCTCTCCCGTGCTGTGTAATGAAATTGGTCAATTCCCCAAGAAAGTTAACCACCAACGCCGCTGCTTCTGCATTTTATTGTGTTTTTATAGTTACTCACTTCAGAGAAAATTAAAAGTAAAGTTTCATCGTCGTTTACAAAGTTTTAGAAGAGAAAATGATATCTTGAAATAAAATTGAAGGTGATATCTAGTTCTTTCAAACATTTGCATGAACAGTGGATGATGAAAGCTAATAATCGAATTTGAAGATTCAGGTCTGAAAAAAATTGTGCTTAGGGAAAGCTTTTGTCACTTTTCTTGATAAAAAAGTAACTTTAATTTCCTTATAAGAATTAAAAAAATATATCAAATAATCCTACATTTTTACTTTTCACAGCTATGCATGTATGACCTGGACTAAGCCTTCAAATAAAATAAACATCTTTTTTTTTTTTGTTTTTCGTTTATTTGAACTATAAAACTGATATAATTTCTTAGGTACAAAACTTTGATTGAAATATATATGATGACATTTAATGTCAAAAACATGTGAAACTTTAAAGCATTAATACATAATGCGCGTCATTGATAAAATATTGATAAACAAACATCGAATCTAAAACATTGAAATGAGTCTAACATTGAAATTAGTCTATCATACATCAAGAAAAATTTATCAAACACATTTACATCATACTTAGCTGATTAATTGCTTTCTTGGAAACAAAACTTTTTTGTACACATCGTTATGTTTGCGTAAAGGCAAAATTACGTATCAAAATAATAACAAGGTTAGATTAATTGTTCGAAATACATGTATATTCATACATTTATAAGCAGTCAAGAATTCAACATTAGATAACAATGAAGTATGATAACATACTTCTTACTTTTTATATATATCACCAAAAGATTGCTATAGCGTGAACGTCTAGGTTGTTCGTCTTTCAGCCCAAGAAACTGGGTTCGTTTATGGTTTTCTGCGTAGGTAGAATATTTCTATTGTCTGTAAATAAGTACTGGCACCGGAGAATGATGCACTACATAGTCACTAACACTTCCTAATATGGTCCTTCTAATTTTTCCATGACCTCTTGTTCCAGTCACAATGTAGGCTGCATTATATTCTTCTGCCACTTTGGTTACAGTAGGCCCCGGGTCACCCTTCACCATCACAACCTGTCCCTCTATCTGAAATAGTACATGAGTTGTAAGTAAGATCGTGCATAGTGAAATTAGAAAGTGAACAAAATATTTTGTTAAGAAAGAAGATTTCATCACTTGTCATTGCAAATTTTTTTTCTTGTCCTTAAGAAATCTGAGTGTGAGTAGAAAATCTATAAATGTTCATTTTACCTGATATGTTAATATACTGCGTTCGAAATTTACAAACACTGAAACATTTGTAACTTAGGTTTTTTATAATGAACATGTTCTGCCAATATCATTAATTGTTTACAAAAAATCAGAGGACAATAAATTCTTACTCCTGTTTCAATAAGATATCCTTCAAGCTTTTTCTCCATTTCTCTGGCCTTTCTTTCCTCTTCATGGATGGCATGCTCGACCAATTTGGGATCAGCCGTCATCCAGGCAGCTACAAGATATAAAGAACAAGAGGTCAATTGGCCACAACGCTCACCTGAGTCACCTTAGTCCTGTTGTTTTCAGTACAGTACCTCTATCCCCCCCCCCCCCCCAGACAGGACCTTGTTTTGAGCAAATATGAATCTTCATTCTTTGAGGGTGCTTGCATCTTAATATCACTAATCATGACAATGCTGATGCTGAAATCGAGAAGAAGATTTAAAAAGTTTTCCCATTTAAATTCTCAAGTAAAACATTGATAATTTATTGTGGTCCCACCCTACCCCCCGGTGGGAGGGGGTACAATTTTAACAAATGAATCTTGAATCTCCACTATCTTAGAATGCTTGCATTTTTATATGACTAATCATGGTCCTGTCGTTCTTTAAAGGAAGGCTTTTAAAGATTTGTTTTGTATATTCCTACGTAAAACTTTGATACCCTATTGTGCCCCCACCCTACCCCCGGGGGCAATGACTTGTACACTGTCTAATCTATCTGAGGATATATGACCAATATGGCTCTCCTGTTTTTGAGATTTTTAAAGATTTTTTTCTTATTCCCATGTAAAACTTTGATCCTTTATTGTGGCCCCATCTAAAATTACCCACTGTGGTCATGACTTGAACAAACTTAAATCTATACTACCTAAAAACGCTTGTATAGTAATTTCACTAATCATGGTCCTGCTTTTCATGGAAAGAATCTTTTTAATTATTTTTTCCAACAAGTTCCATGAAAAAACTTTGATATCCTATTGTGGCCCCACCCTAGCCCCGAGGCCATGATTTAAACAAACTTGAAACTGCAATGTCTGAGAATGCTTACATTTTTATATAACCTATCATGACCTTGCTGTTCTTGAGAAGGATTTTTTTTCTCTACATATGTCCATGTAAAACTTTGATCTTTTAGTGTGGTCTCACTCTACCCCCTACGGCCAAGATATGAAACTTGCATCTACACTATTTGAAGATACTTGCATAGTAATTTCACTATTCATGGCCTTGCTGCTATTGAGAAGAAAATTTTAAAGCTTTCTCCTAAATATTCTTATGTAAAACTTGGATATCTTATTGTGGTTTCCCTACCCCTTTCTTGAGAAGATTTTTAAACTTCTCTTGATTATATCTCCGTTCAAGAGAATATGGCCCGTCATCTTAACAAAACTGAACCCCATTTATCCACCGATGCTTTGTGATAAATTTGGTGCATTGATTCAGGAGAAGTCGAAAATGTGAAAAGTTAATTGGACAGACGGACGGACGATGAACAAACATCGACCAGAAAAGCTCATCTGAGCCTTTGGTTCCAGTGAGATAAACACCTACAAAAGTGTTTTCCTTCTGTCCCAACTATACTCCTGGTCATCATTTTTATGATATTCTACTCCTGAGATATGACTTTGTATCAAGATCATCAGTAACAACATACTCAAATTTGTATCTATTCAAAGTAAGGGCTATAAACTTATTATCCGGGTACATTGTACAGTTGACGTGACCTTTGAGATTTTTTTTTTTTGTCAGACTATGATACACTTGTGGATCATCAACAGTAACATACTTTCTAGATACGTATACATCCTATCCAAAAGTTTCAGAGATACTGATAGGATTCCAATCCGTTCTCTCATTGTCTAATATATGACATTATCTTGTGTCAAGATCTTGTCACACGTAAGGCCACGAACCACAAAATATTTTAAAAGTTTGAACCCATTTCCACCAAGGTTGTGAAGCAGGTCATCATTATGTGACTGACAGTCGGACAACAATGTCTCCTCCCCTTAGGGAAGACATGATTCTTCGGTAAGTAAAAACTTAACACGGATTTTTTAAACCCCCCTCCCCAGCTTTGAATTTCTTCTAGAAATGAAAAAAAATGTATAAAATTTAAGTACAGGGTATCCTGAATAAGAGGCAAAGATGGACAGTCTTAATGTCCCTCTGAGTTTCATGATTTCCCCATGCTGCCACCAACCAAACCCTTCCCTCCCACTGAAACTTTTAATCCAAACTGATATGAAGTTTATAAACTGGTAATTTTTTTTTTCATTATAACATTCCATAAGTCTGTGTCCTATGCCCTCAGGAGTAAAAACGATTTTCAAGATATGATGCATTTTCATTTAGATATATCGACGACGTTTTATCCAATAGCAATATTCATTTTCATACCTTCATTTATTCAATACATCCCTTTGAACTCGAAATAAAAGATACCACAAAGTTCTGACACATCTGTTTCATATTGGGATATTTTACTACAACAAAGATGTTAGCCTAAAATAACAAAATTAATGATAAAGTAATTTCAATTTTTCTATCGTCAACTTCCTTTATTTATGTAGCAATATACCATTATCACATGCATATGGAGTTTGTCTCCCAAGAGCATACTCTACGTATGAATAATTTCTAAAGCAAGGCAAACTATTGACAAATACGTTGATGAAACAGGAATATCAACAGTCTCGTTTAAAGTCAACATTTCGCAAATACTGTGGTCGATACAATGACCATATCAGCAAATACGATCTATCATTCATTCGAATGTTGACTGACATTTTTCACACAAATTGTTAGGCTATTTTTCACACTGAATTATCTACGAATTTTTCCATTTGCCCGATCATGGCAAGGAGTACAATGCAGGTGTGAGCGGTCGACAGGAATGCTTACTCCTCCATGGCACCTAATCACACCTCTGATGTTTTCAGAAGACGATTTACAAATATATAATACATGTATTTTCAATATCTGCCCCCACCTTACGGCAAAATGCTTGAAATTATAAAACCATTAACTAAGAACTGAGTTCAGTCAAAATTTAACTTTCAATATCTTGATTTTTTTTATCGAAAAATTAAGTTTAAAAGGTCGCAAATTTGTAGAGAATTTAAAAACAAACACGTGATGAAAGTTTTGCTTTATGTTCAAAAGTATTTCAAAGGTTATTCTAATGTAAAATTTTGACTTAACTCCGTTCTCGGTTTATAGTCTTGAGGTCAAGGGACACACATTTCACAATTTTTGGTGGAGAGCTAACAACTTATCAAAATCTTACGAACAGTTCGATTCTTGAAGTCCATTAGTAAAGTTAGATTTACAAATTGTACTGTGTTTTGCAATATTTATGACCAAGTAAGTCCTACTCTGGAGCCAGGAACAAAGGGCCACAAACTTAGCAATTTTGATAAAAAGTTAAGTGTTCTTTATAATAATGAAAACAGTTGCCAGCTAGATATCCAGGATATTACTGGAAAAGTTTTTTTTTAAGATTGCATAAATTTTGAACAATGCATATGCGCTGTTCACACGGAGAGTTTAATTCGCAGTGAATAATGCAAAGTAAAATAATGCGAATTAAATACTCCATGTGAATGCGGTTCAAATTTAAATCGCAGTAACTTGCATTTAATTCGAATTAAATTCTTCGTGTGAACAGAGCATTAGATTCAACATCCCAAAACTTCGTTCGAATTGACTCATCCACTTCAGAGAAGAGGCTGAACATTTTCAAAAGTTCACCACACACATTGCAAGAACACCTCGCGCAATGACAGATGGAAACGGAGAACAATAGATCCTCTGGATGACTCAGATTACTTATAAATGTAAACAGTTTAAAGGGGGTTCTTTCAATTCGTTTCAATTAAAAAATTCATTTATCATTTTTTTGGTTCTGAACTTAGGCTTCACACAATTAGAGGACCATTGTTCTTTTTTCCAAAATGTAAATACTCCGATCAACTTTCGATCAAATCAAATATTCACAGGTAAGTTTCATAGACACGACAAACAATTTTTTTTTATTTTGTTGAAACTTACAAAAAAATAATTTTTTTTTTGTGAACAAATTTATAAGGTACTGAAAAATAAAATCAAGCTTTTGCAAAGCAGACCATTGTTGAGTGTATATATCATCGACAAGCCCTTATCTTTATTCCACACAAAAATATGAATTGCTGTGAGAAGAACCGTCGGGCGTGCCGTGCTACAAAGTATTCAACAAGTGGCATTAATCAAATGTGCATTCTCAAAAACTCCAAAACTTTTTGGAAACTTTGATTTTATATTTCCCGCATATCAATAGCATCAAAATGTATAACTTTTCAACACTTTATATAATTCCTCACGATATATTAAAGATCACTTTTTTTCTTTTTTGACTTTAAGACAACTACTACTGCATTAAACTGTAACTCAGAAATGCTCATATCTTGTGATTGGTCCTCTACAAATACTTTTAAAATAATTCCGATTCTACAGATATGTACTCTGCAATTGATATTAAAAACGATGCTGGAGTTCCTCATTGATAATTTCTATACAGTCTTTGGAGGCCAGATCTTTCAACAATCTGCTGGAATTTCCAAGGGAACAAATTGTGTTTCTTTGGCCAACCTGTTTTGTATTCTCATGAAACATACTATATTGGTAAATTCGCATGAAAAGAAACTCTTGTAGTGGCCTTCAATTCCACATTAAAATATATCAACGACATTTTATGAACTAAAAATAATTCATTTTCATTTATACCGTATTTCGACTCCATATATTACAGTGAACACGAAATACAACTTACATGTACCACAGTGTTTACAACATCTGTTTCACATATGGATGTTTTACTGTCTATAGACGATGATGGCCATTAACAATTAAATTCTATGACAAACAGGCGATCCCAGCATTTCCATTGTCAACTTCTCCTTTTTATGCAGTTTATTCCACTATCTTCTAAAAATAGTGTTTACTCGGTATATCCTCAGTACGATTAATTTTTAAAACTTATCCGAGGCAAGCTAGTGATAGGTAAGCTGATGTTACAGGGCTTTCAACAGCCACGTTTAAAGTCAGCATTTTGCAATTTCTGTGGTCGTTTTAATGAACTTGTTTGCAAATACAATCTATCGTTGGGTCGAATTTTGACTGACAATGCCTCATACCAATTGTAAGGCCAGTTTCTTATACTAATTTTACTAAGGATCACTCTGTTTATTAGATCAATACAGTCACGTGGGTTGACAAGTCGATAAAGGACGGTTACTCCTCGTAGACACCTTATCCCACCTCTAATGTTACCAGGGGTTCGTGTTATTACTCTATTCACGATTTGTTTTCAGATATTGATCCCTATTCGTTGTCTTCACCTTTTCCACCTTACATGCAATATCAAAATAATGAACTTAATGCCAATAAAGAAGTTCAGTTTCCGCTAACTTACGATAGGAAGCGGAAATGTATCTTGGTTACAAAATGCACTAGGGAATCGATCTATCGGTCTGGAATAAGCGTAAATGTTTTGACCCCTGTGCTGTACAAAATAATTCATCGTTTATTGTTGTCAATACTTCGAACAATATTGACCCTTCCTGGCTGTATACAATTTAGAGATTCTTATTAATTACCTTAATGACCATTCCTTGTCTGATGAAGTAACTAAACCTTTCCCACACTAATCTATGAATGTTTGATTGGAAACAAGAAACATTTTACTGACAGTCTGGACTTATGGTTGTTGCTGAAAAGCAATGAGATGATTTCAGTCTTACCTCTTAGTAGTAGTATACACCGAATACATAGTGAAACTTGAACGACTTTTCCTATGCTAACATTTGCGTCAACAAATGTAACCGAGGGTTCGGTGTACACACGAATATAAGCATGCAACCGCCTCTTAAATGCTGTAAGTCACTATTTATTCCATGTGATTTCTTTTCTTTGCGAGTAGAGTATAAGATTAATTTCCTTTGTAACAAGAAGCAGCTTTGGGGAGGGACCGAGGACTAAAAAGGAGTAACATAGACTGAATGATTTTTGCGATCTTTCTTCTTAACCACTTTATATACACTGGCGTTTTTGTTTTTAGTTGCAGAAATTATTTTAATGACATAAGCTAATAATGCAATAACATTCTCTTGTTTATTTCTTTTGTCAGTCTCTGGATGTTTCTTTACATATGGGAATTATCCTGAACATCTGGTTTTAATAATGTTTATTAGGGAGCATTCAAATCGAAATCGTCTTAAGTGTTCAAGAAAACAAACCTCTCTATTCCGATTTTAACTACTTCTTATTCTGCATTTTCTTAATTCAGTTCTTGCTTATCCTTAACACACAGTGCTAAGCTACTCATCAAGATATATCTCCATAAATTAGACTGACAACCACGCAACTCACTTACAGCCATGAGTTAAACTGTGTCTGTGATCTGTCACATTAAGCAGAATGGCATGGTCTTCATCCGCTCTGTGTACATGTTCCATATACCCTGCAAAGGTAAAGAAACAGTACTGTATACATCAGAAAAATTTACTTTAATTGATGGGAACATTTGCTTTTTGTAACAGTAAAACATAAATATGATGGTTTTCTATTGTACATCAACATGCACGCTGCAAGACTTATAAAATGAATATCATTAGGAAAGAGATCATGTGAACAAAAAAGCAATTTATCATAAATATATGTGATACTCAGTTATACAAATTATTGAATTAATAGTGAACCACTCTCTAACAAAACCAGCATTGCTTTAAACGTGCTTAGATGAGAATTTTAAGAGACTATGGGTGTTAAGAAGGCCATCAAGTTCGCAGTTAGTTTTCTAGAGAATGATGTGATTATATTGATTGAGTTCAGCTGAAACAACTTCTTAATTACAATGCTCTATTAGACATCGTGGCACTCTTGATTGATGAATTTTTAAAGGGAATTGTTATAAACAAAGTAAAAAATAGATCATAGATATCCAGAGAAATGTCTTTGACATATTCACATACTGGGGAAAAAACAGTTATCTTCGGCTTCCATAATTAATTTAAAGGAAAGAGGAAATCAATGTTCCAGCAACAATTTTCAATGATACATTAGAATACAAAAAAAAAGTTTTAAGAATATTCAAAATGATGATCAAAGTCCTTAATTTTTACCGCACTGTTGAAGATCGCTCCTCGTAGCTACATTTACTTGCATCTTGTCACGATTGCTTATATCATGAACGCACAAAGTATGAGAGTTCGATGTTTTTGGGAGGGCGCTAAAGTCTTGATATTTTGCGATTTCGCACATATGTGGATTTACTACATTCAATGTTACTTTGTGTTCCTCATTCTGATTAAAACGTAACTGAGAAGACGTATTATGCTCCTATGACTGACCAAATTTCATAGTTTTATGTTGATCTTGATGACACTGGTATGTTTTGTTTATAGTAAAAGTGCTATTTTTCATTTTTTTTCTATCCCTTTTCTTTTTTCTTATGTTCTCACCTTATGTACTTTGATAAATCAGTATTATTTGCAGCATGGTTATCTACTTTTTCTATAGATGGAATGAACCCGATTAAGAGAATATGAAGAAATTTTCGATTCCTAGTCTTTCTCTTCATAAATGATTGTTTTTCAATGCTTATTTGTGTTGATTATAGAAAGCAGATGCCTACGGCAAGAAAACTTTATTTTTAATCCTAATATAATATCTGGGGAATATTTGGACAATAAATACATAAAGTTTAAAATTTAATAGCAAAATACAAGACTAGCATTCTTGAGTTAATAACATTTTGGTCAAATGAAAGCCATTAATATGATGTAAAGAGCACTTTTTTCAAAGCACATTACTGATACGATCCTAGATAAGATTGTTTATGTATATCTATTTATATCCTTTACCACCCAGTCGTGATTAAGCCTACATCAAAAATCATTCGTTTGGCCCCAAGAATCACTAATCTGCCTTCATTATATTCGTTATTGAAAATGTATATCTTTAGAATTGTACGGAGATACTGGGGCTCAGATATACAAAACTTGCATTGACACTAGTTACAAAAATAAAATATCCATATTTATAGGCATTTAGGCTTGTTAATTCTGATTTGCATCCGCAGGATAGTGAAATTTTAACCTTTTCTAGACTGATACTTTTGAAGAGGAATAATTGTTTCAAGAGTTATATGTAAAAATAGAACATCTGAGACGCCTTTGTAAAACTATTTCAATGTTATCGCCAGATATGATACAGAATACAGCAATAAAATATGGGGGCGGAATCTGATACAGTTTTTAAAATAGTCATGACTATTTGGATAATTACAACTGAAAGTGTTCCCGTACATGTTTTTGAATATTGATTCTGTAAACCTCAACCTTCTGCATTAACAGAAATTTTACACTAGTAGCCCACGTGTATATATCAAAGATTCATTCTGATTGTGTGTGGGTTTTTTTTAAATAAATTTTTTCATTTATTTTTTAATTTTTAAATTCGCTGTTAATAGATTTTCAAGACATTGTTTGTTTCTTATGAAAGCCGGGTAGGATCATTTTTGACAAGATAAAAATTAAATCGTTATATATAACGAGATAGTTTGAAATTTAAGAAAACAGCTGCATACAGTAAAGTATTGTAAGTTATCTTATGTTACCGTTATGCTATTATTCATAGACATACTTTAAAAATTGTTTCCTTAATAAATCTTTACTTTAAAAAAGTCTCACATTTCCAATATTTGCTACTGAATCCCCCAAATATTACGTTGAACCGGTCGGCGAGACGTTCGCCCGCTATGACATTTTATTACGTCACACTTAGTTTAGGTGGAACGAGTCAACAAGCCACTGGTATATCTTTCTGGGTTCAGGGGCAAAATGCGTTTTGTCGAAACAAATGTTTACCTGGGCTAATGGCCTAAGGGAAAAAGCTTTAGTGGTCCTCGGGTCCGGAAAACACACATGGGCGGATCTAGAAGGGGTTGGGAGTCCATATCCCGCTGGAATATTCAGAATTATTAAATTTCTATGTAAAACTAACGAAAAATGGCCTTGGGCCCCCTAGGAAATACGGGCCCCTTTTAAAAAGTAAGGAGAGTCTCTATCAGGAGAACCTGCAACACCCCCCCCCCCCCCCACACACACACACTCAATGAAAAGGATGTTTAGGTTTAACTGTTGCTATTGATTTTTTTTTCCTCAAAAAATTTTCGACTCTCGAGTATGACATCTGTTATAGTTGATGTGGACCCCTCCTGGATTAAAATCCTGGATCTGCCCTTGACACATCTTGCCCTGTAACTCAGTCAATAAATGTCAGTGACTATTTGGTATTCTTATGCAGTGCATTATACAAGAGGTCCATGGGTCTTGACGGTCACCTGAGTATCATCAGTTTTTTCAGGTTTTGAACACTTCGTGACCACCGAGAACTTGTCTAAACTTTCGTGACAAATAATGAACAGTTGTAAGGACTCTTTTATCAATGTCATATTCATGCAGATTGTCTCCCAGAAGAAAAAGTACACTATATTATGGTAATAACCAACTAAGCCCCATCATGGGGCCTGATCCCTGATCCCGAGGAACATTAATTTTACAATTTTTGTAGAGGGCTAGCTACTCATAATAAACATGCAAGCTATTCGCCTGCTCCATGAGTAATAAAGAGTTAAGATTTTCAAATACATGTATATAATTTACTTTCATATATTATAAACTTGGCCCCATTGAACCATGGGTCAAAGGATCTTAAATTTTACAATTTTAGCGGAGGGCTTATCATAATGTTTATTATAATCATGCAAACAATTTGTCAGCCAGGTGTCCATGATTTAAAAAAAAAAAACGATTTCCGAAGATGTTATGTATCTTCAATATATTAAACCAATTCAGCCCCACCCTGCGGCCTGAATGCTGGACCAAGGGGTATCAATTTTATAATTTTAGTAAAGGAATTGGTATTCATCCTATCACGTCAACAGTTTGCCCCATAATTGTCCTTGAGCAGATAAAATTTGGTAGAGCCAACAGTTTCACTTGTTCGTATCCAGGAATAAAGATTTCTGAAGATTGCATTGATATTGATAATTTTGGCCACATCCCTCAGGCCCGAAGCAGACAAACCATGAAATTCAATTTTTTCCCCTTCACCCATAGCTATATTCTAAAATTGGTTGAAATGAGTTCAGCGGTTCCAGAATGTTCAAAGGACCGACGATTGACGACGCACAATGACTGAGGCCATCTTATTATTATCTTAGTTAATAGACAGAATTTAATCAACCGTCGTCGTAGCATGTGGAGTTAAGAAAATTTCTGTGAATTTGAAATAAATAGAGACAATTGGAATGTAAATGCTCATATGCATATGTATAGGTAATGTATTTCAGTTTTAAGTTTTAAAACACGGTACTTTCCAAAAGCAACTTTTCACATAGGCGTGTATTTATCATAAGGCAGCCAATGAAAATTGGTAGTAATATTTGTAATATTTTGTTTATATCATTGATGCATTCCTGTCATTAGCGGTTTTAATTTGAACCAGTAATCAAACTTTTTTTTATCAATCACAATTATGCTTTGTTAAAAGTTGCTAAAAAAAATATATCGTGAAATGTTTGTAAAAAGTATAAGGCCATATCTAGACCTGCTTCCGAAACAGAAATACGTGTCATTATTACATATGCTATTTTTATTAACAATGAAATAAAATAAATATTCAAAGAAAAAAAACAATAAAGTTTCTATAGGGTAAAAGTAGTATAATACAACGCACACTGATTAAAGCAAACGGCTCTTTTGATACAAAAATACACATACTCCTGACCAGCTAGAGGGAAGAAAGGGGGAAATAATGTTCTTTAAAATATCCATAGGCGCTCCACGTGTAACTTTGTAGATGACGAAATGATGTCTACATAGGTCTACCCCTCTATACTATAAAATCAACAAGGTTGAAAATATCCCCAAGTCGTGTTTGATTGAACTATTGAAGGATTATGACAATATATGAATATGTTCTCCATTCAAAATTACATCGAACGTCGCTTTCCCCTGGCTTGTGTCTATACTTGTATAGTTTGCTTTTTCATGTAGGAAAAAAGAGGTCATTTTCAAGCAATAAAATATTAGTTACTGCGTATTAAAGAATACTTGTACAATTTTGATAATTCGATCTTATTCTGAAATACACTGTGTTTTATTTATTTACGTTGGTATTAAAGTTGTAATTCTGAAATTGTGCATCGATCTTGTATTAAAGCAAGGTTCTTATCCTAGAGAATTAAGATACACGTTCTATTTCATTCAAAATTGGATTCACATTTAGGGGCTTCACACATGCATCATCGAACACTTGATCAAGAGGCTTCATGCAGTCTGATAAAAATCGAAAAACAATCAAAGTGGAGAGGGATATACAAAGTATTGGAGGACTAACAAGGAAATTTGGACTTCGTGTTCATCGCTGGTCATGCCGAAATATAAATCCATTATATGTTTATTTGCCAATATCAGCAGTACAGATATAGTAATATAATTATCTGAAAAAGGCTAACTCGTATTGATTTTAAAACACTACGTTTCTTTACATAATGAATATCAGGTAGAAGCCCGCTTTTATATTTTCAATATTTATCCAGAGTAATTATTTTCTTTTTGTACCCACCTGCCAGTAGTTTTTCAAACCATGATTTCTAAAATAAATTCTTTTCTCCCCAAGTAATAACGTGATTGAATATAAAGCCAATTGTGCAACTATACAGATCATCGATTGATTGATGGATCGTTTGTTTGCATGATAACAGTATATACATGTATCTTCGTACAAGTATAATACTTCTGTACCATTAAATTCCCCTAAAATTTCCCTACTCTCTCTCTCTCTCGTTTCTTTTCTTTGTTTTGGAATTGTGACCTAACACAAAAAAAAGATATTTAAAAACATACTCTAGCCTTCTCCCTCCTAAATCACAAGCGTCATTCTCTATCTCTATTAACTCGGTGAAAATACAAGAAAAGAATAAAACCGCACCTTAAGCTTATCTAAGGACTTGAAGAAAATCATCTGTCAAAACCCAGCTGTGTCTTAATGAAAACACAGTTCTTACATAGTTAGATCAAAATTATACTTTAGACGCGTATAAAAATCATGCATTATAAATGTATCTCTTGTCAAGTCCACATGCACTTATGAGACATCGCATTAATTTTAAGACTTCTGACATAGAAAAGCACCTTTTCTCAAACATCCGAATCAAAAAAAGCTAGAGGTCGAACTGATTCGAATACTGGTCTAGCAAGAGATCTTATAAACACGTAAATTATATGATTCAAAGGAAACATATCTGTTGAGGAAATGAATTTCATATCCATATATCTTTTATACCAAGTTTGGTCCGAGGATAGCAAATTTTCCATCTCAACAAGCAGTTAAGGCTTTAATAAAATTAATAAATTGGTTCAAATGTTGGATTCTTTATGTTTCATTGCACAAAAATATCGAAAGTGATGTTTTTGTTCAAGAGAGAAACGCTAATGCTAAACTGTAAAATATAAATTGATATATCATCAGGATCAGTTCCTCTCAGAATTTAGTTAAGAAACTCGGGGTTCTGATAGATTTTTTGGCGTACCATTCCACTCGGGACTACGATTTTCAATCAGTTTCACTTCCCAACTTGACATTTTTATTAGCTTAGACAGTAGCAAATTAAATTGTAGAGACAGCAAGGCGTATTGAGCTGTCTAATATTTCTCATCCAAACTCAGGGTTTCAATTTCAAGTTTGTCTTCAATATTTATACATATATTCTGCTTTTTATCCTTTCATTACTGCATTTAAATCTTGTCTAAACTGCATTTTCATCATTAGTAACTTATCATTACATATTTATATCAAAAGTCTTTCAGAATCATTTAAAAAAAAATTCAAGAGTTCTGTAGAATGTTTTAACATCCTCAGATCTATTTAAATAAGCCATTCTAAGCCCGCCTGCTGAATTGCTATCAGAATTCAATTTATCATACATCAAGAATTAGATCCGTTTGTATGTCAGACAAATTATAAATCACAAATGCTTAAATGCAAATCATGAAAAAAAAACTATTGGATTTCTTGCTAATTAATTTGTTTTTAATGGTATACTAATCTACTTTCATCTTGATGAATCTTAATATTTAAATAAATTGCATGTAACTGAATTGAGACATCGATATCTATTTTATTGTTAGACTAAGTTTACTTTAATCGTCAGTTATGGCTATATCGATATTTTGTGGAAGAGTTTAAATTCTACATCTAGTTCACACAAGCAGTACTTGTTTATAACCATGACCCCATATGTAAATATTCCGCGATAAGTTGTGTTTTTCTAACTGAAGGTCATTCGCACGTTCCACTTGGGAGCCAAGTGTTTAAAGAAAGCAATATACATGTAGAAGTGATGACGCATTTTGACAAAATAGAAATACTCCGGAAGTAAATTTTGCATTGCATTACAAAACCAGTACGCAGTCATTTTTTTTAAATATTAGTTGATACATTGCTTTGCAATGTTTCCAAGCAAGGACATTGGCCCGTACATGAAAAGATAAATATAAAAAAATAACTGCAATTGCAATGAAAGAATGTATCAGAGCTTTTATTACATTATACTACTTTTAAATTTCCTTATTAACCATGTTAACGAATTACGACATTTTTTGTTGTGTTACGCTCAATCCACCTTACTATGAAAAGGGGTAACTTGATAGGGAAAAAAAAGGCAGGAGTTACCGTACACTTGAATGCTCCCTCCGCATAATCGCTACCATCCATGGCAATAATAACATTTCTCCTTTCACCAATATTTGGCCCTATGTTAGCCATTACACACTCCGATTCCAAGTTCATCTTAGAAGTTTCATTGATGCACTAAACGCTGTTGTTTCATGTATGTCGCTGAACATGTTATACCACCTTACTATTTCAGGGCAGTATGTAAAATATGGCTACGCAGTGCGCGATCACATTATGCATTTTGTTTGATGCATTATTCATCAGTTTATTAGCTGTAAGCAACCGAACCCAATTAACCTTGTTTTTCTGATGTGAGCGGTGATGTGTCAGAAGTCATATATAACGTCTCCTAGTGCCTGGTGTATCTGATTAATTGATTGCATCGTCATACTTGAATTTCTGTTCTTAATTTTTGACAGTATTTGGTTTTTTTTCTTGTAAATGTACCCTTGCGTGTAATAAGTTCGCAGACTTTAAGCAAAATAATAAATAAATATTCAAAACATTGATCAATATAATCTGATTTCCATGAAAAGTGTTTTCGATTCAATTCAATTAACAATAGTTATTTCATTTATATGTTAACTCGATATACTAGTATCCCAGTTAACTCGAAATAATGGACATCAAAGATTCTGCCACGTCTGCTTTTACTTAGATATTGATGTTAATGGCCAACTAACAACTAAACTATATGACAAACGGGATGACCTCAGCTTTTCCATCGTCAATTTTCCTTATTTATTTAGTAATATTCCACAATCACCTGCATATGGGTTACGTCTCCCAACCAATTCTATTCTCAAGAGCATGTTCTGAGAACGACCAGTTTCTAAACAGAAGCAAGCTATTGAGGAATAAGTTGTTGTATCAGGGTTTTCAAGTATGTCGTTTAAAGTTCTACAAATACAACCTATTGTTTGGTTGAACACCTCACTTGTTTCCCTTTAATTGTTAGGCTCTTTTTTTCCCCTTTTTTTTTTAACCATTTTATCTACGATTAATCCGTTCACCTGATCAATACACAGGATCACTGCTGGTGTGGCCGGTCGACAGAGGATGCTTACTCCCCAAGGCACCTGATCCCTCCACTGGTATTCTAGGGGCCTGTGTTTTTGCCCTGTTCACGATTGCGATTCTTTACTTGATTTCTGAGATTGCTCACGGTTCCTTACCTTTTACATCCCTTTCATCTTCACTTAGTGTCCTTATGTAAATTGAAACGGTAAATGAACTAATTTTACAGAATGTCTGCGTGTTTTACTAAGAAAATTACAACTGATATATAATATTTCGAATAATGCATTGTGAGATTACTTAGGATGTAACAGTGACCTCCAAAAATGTCCATCGCGTAGAGAACAGCAGTATTCTGATGGAATAACAGTGCTCTGCTAGCAAGTTTTACAAGATATTAGTTCTACAAGTGATTCCAACGTACCCTTTTTTTCTTAATAACTTTCACACTAAGGGTTTTATCTTTCCCTGTCATTTATTATTGCAAGACAAGGTTTAGGAACTGAAAGTGTTCGGTTTCTTATCATTGAGACTGACATCTTACATTGAGCATCGTGTTTATGTATCCCTATTGGAATGTATCGAAGATGCTCTATGATGAGATACAAAACCTGCCCTTTTGATTGTTTCTTATCAGGTTTTATTGCTGATGCACGGCGTGAATATCTCGAAAAGATTCCTATTATGTCTTATTGGTAACAAAGAGTGTGAAATATAATTACTCGACTGACAAATAGATCCTGATATCTGAATAACAAACGAGGGTTGTCCCAAAATTCGTAGACAGGTTCAATAATTAAAGTCATATATGGCGTATTTTTGATAAGTTCAGACTAACTAAAATTAAAAAGATCTTTCTATTTATTTTATTACTTTGTATAAAGATAGGACTTTCCTGTAAATTACACAATTTAAATCAATCGCGTTTCATAGATATTAGAAATTTAAAACAATAACCGATTTATTTACCGACTCCGCATTTAAATATCAGACACAGTTTAAAGTCAATTTAACTATAGAAACGTGGGGTTATTCAAGTTCAAAATCGGTGAAAATTTTAATTTGAACGTAAAAAACAAATATGATGCTCATCTGCACTCAATCTCTTATTTTAAATTTTTAGCTCAGATACGCCATATATAGCTTTAAGTTTCTCTTTGGTCGCTTAACTTTCTTTTCTTCTCATAGTAAAAGGCTATTAATATTTAATGTTCATGACTTTCAAGTTTCATAAGAATAACACAGATAAACACCATATTACAATTTTATGACCTAAATTGATATGTTTCGTATTATATACGTTTTGAAAGATGCGATGTTAGTAAAAATAATGGCTTAGATAGGTTAAAAAAATCACTTATTTCGAAGTGATGTCGATTGATTGATTGTTGTTTTACGTCCCAGTTGAAAATTTTTCACTCATAAGAGACGTCACCATATACAGGTGAGGAGCCTCAAATTTAGACTTGTACTCGGCACTCAGGGCCATTAAGCAGTGAGGGTCATTTATTGTGCCAACGCCTACATGTACCGTGACACGGGGTCTTGGTTTTTTTTAGGTCTCATCCGAAAAAAACTGTGACTTTCACTTCTAGTGCCGGGCGCTTAGCGAAGGAACAGTGACAACCAATGTTTACCTCTTAGGTTTGACCGAAGTGATGTCGAGATACATGCACTCAAGAACGTTTGTAAATAAAAATTTTCATCGAATATTTAATCTTGAAAAACTTTTATACCAGCATGTGACACATTTTGACGAGTAATTGAATCTTGCTGGACAGCCAACAATATTTTGCGTAGACTGACACCTGTTTGTAATCCTATTCACATACCTAAATTTTTTTCTGTAAGTGGTTTTGTCCTCGTGCTCAAGTATTGCTTTGTTTCAATATATGGCTAAAGCTGTTGAGATTGCCAAACTGTATTTCTTATTATCTTATTTTCTCTTCTTTTTTCCCCATGAGATATAGGGTTTTCGATTATGCAATTCCGCCATAACTATTGTAAAAAGGAAAGAAAAGTACATTTTTGTGACATTTTTGTATGTCAAAATACGCAAAGGTATAAAAGACCATATCACTTTAGATGTATATCCATAAAATATAGACTATCGCGGTGTCAGTAACACGTGGTCATTGCCTGTTCAGCTACCCAGTCGATGTTTGGTTGCGAAGGTGGCAGAGGATAGTTTCGAATAATGTAGGAAAACCTAAGGTTTTAATGCATATTTCGGGGTCGCCCGCTTGGCGCAGTGGTAAGAGCGTCTGCTCTTGAGTCGCGGAGTAAGAAGTAGCTCCTTACGTCGCGGGTTCGATCCACTGCGGGACGAGGAGACCGGTCCTTCGGATGAGACCGTATAAACCGAGGCCCCGTGTCGCAGAAGGTGTTGGCACGAAAAAGATCCATCACTGCTCAATGACCTTGAGTGCCGAGTATAGGTATAAATTTGCAGCCCTCCGCCGGCAAGTGCATGGTGACGTCTCCATTTGAGTGAAATATTCTCGAGAGGGACGTTAAACAACAAACAAACAAACAAATATATTTCGGGTAATTTAATAGGTAGAATAATTTATGTGTGAATTTGGAGGGAAGTAATGGTCTTGTACATTTTATTGATATATGACACTTAAGTGTCGATACTGCCGTTCATAGGATATGAATTGGAAAAACGAAACGTTCTACAGCCAAAAATCACTCATCCGGGATTTCCTCAGAAAAGCGGGGGTTCATGGTATGACATTTAGCTTAATTTAAAGGAAGACAATATCTTGCTGTTGACTGGTATGCAAAGACGTTGCTCTGCAATTTGTGTGGTAGCTCGGGCCTGGAAGCTGTTTCGGATCTGGTGAAATAGTGAAAATAGGTCAAATTTTCATTACATTTTGAGACTGTTCTTGTCATCATTCTGGCGCAATATGTGAGTTGCCCATCTTTTATTCCTAAAGGCTTCAAATTTCTTTAGGGACTAAAACATGCTATTATTACATCCCATTGATGTTAATGGATAAAAGCAATTTCAAAGATGTGTCAATTAAACAAGCCCCAGCCTTAGGGACTTGACCTGTGGGCACATAAATTTCATAATTTTTGTAGAGGCTCATTAAAAAATCATGATCACGAAACACTATTCCAACTAGAATGCAGTCATTTAGCTGGAGTAAGTTGATCCTTACGCTGTGGGTTGGAATCCCATTGGAAACCGGTCCTTCTGATGAGACCGTATAAACCAAGGTTCCGTAGACGATCTCTCACTGCTCAATGGCCGAGTACTTCCCTCCGCTGGAAATTGGTGGCGTTCCATTATTAATGAAATATTCTCGAATGGACGTAAAACAAACAGCCAATCTTTACCTATAGATGTTTTATATCAAAATTTGATGATATTGGTTCAACCGCTATAGAAAGTCAAAAGTTTACGAAGACGGCAGACGAAACCCTATATATATATATATATATATATATATATATATATATATATATATATATATATATATATATATATATATATATATATATATAAATATATATATATATAAATAGGTTACTACGGTGACCTAGGAAATCCATAAATAAATCTTCTGTAAACAGCAGACTATCAGATCTACTGTAGCGATAACAGACTTGTTCGATTTTAATCCTTGCAGAGATTTAGAATCCCCGCTTCTTTTTTACCTTCTGTTTTTACCTTATCGCATAGAAATGAATACAATTAAACACTGAATTAATGTAAACTGAAAGACGCTACCAACCCTACTGCATGGCTTCAATAAAAAAAGAAGAGATTATTGTTTTGGGATGAGACATTAATTTATTTAAGCAATCTTCCTTGATTATGTTACCTTTTGATCAATGAGTCCTCTAGGACCCACTGGAAAGTCGTAAACACGGTTGAATTACTGAACAATCACAGAGAAGCATTACATTCACTCATCAAACTTACATTTCTACGGAAAATTTTACTGTTTTGTCATAGAATCTATTGTTCACCATAAAATTTGCAATAAAGAAACAATACTTTCGTTTCAGCATTAAACAGGATATATGCACTTTTTATTATTGAATGAAAATGTCCGTATCACTTCATGTACGTCAAAAATCTTGTGTAGGTCATGGCAACCGAACCCTTCATAGGTATTGATGCAAACTTTAACATTTTGTTGTCAATTATCTAAACGAGTAATATGT